ACTGCGGGGGTTGTAAGGAGGATGACCGACGATCCCGTTGGTTTTGCTCCGAAAGGTCCTGACCATGGGCGATATCGAAACGTCACGCCGCGGCATTCTGGGTGGCACCGCGATCGGACTGGCATGCGGCGGCGGCCCTGCCGGCGCGCTGGGCCGTGCCACAACCGAGGGCCACGCGCCCAGCCTGCGCGATCCGCGCCCAAATATACCCTGCACGCCTTCCCCGAACAGCGCCAGCCTTGGCCCGCGCTTGCCAGTAGGATGACGCCCCGCCCCGATCACGGCGAAACCAGCTATCGCGGCTCGGGCAGCTGACCGGGCGCAAGGCGCTGCTGACCGGCGGCGACAGCGGCATCGGCCGTGTGCGGCGGCGATCGCCTTCGCGCGCGAAGGAGCCGATGTCGCGATCAACTATCACCCCATGAGGAGCCCGATGCGCGCGAGGTCGCCGACCTGATCCGGCAGGCAGGGCGCAGGCAGTGCTGCTTCGCCGACATCCGCACGCAAAGGCCTGCGAAGACACGGTTCGCAAGGCGATCGCGCAGCTGGGCGGCCTGACATCCCGGTCAACAATGCCGCCTATCAACAGTCCAAGGCGGACGTGTTAGAGATTTCGGACGAGCACCGTCCGGACCTATGAAACCAACGTCTTCCACGTCTTCCGCTTTTCGAAAGCGGCGATCCCCTCGATGCCGCCCGGCGCGGTCATCATCAACACCATCTCGCAGAACAGCTATGACCCCGGCGAGGACCTGATCGACTACGCCTCGACCAAGGCGGCGATTCAGAACCTGACGCGAGGGCTGGCCAAGCAGCTCGCCAAGAAGGGCATCCGGGTCAACGCCGTCTCCCCGGCCCGATCTGGACCCCCGTTACAGGTGGCAGGTGGGCAATTGCCCGGCAAGATGCACGAATTCAGGCAGGACACGTCGCTGGGCCGCGGGCCAACCGGCCGAGCTGGCCACGTTGTTCGTCACGCTGGCGTCGGACGAAGCCAGCCATTCGACCGGAACCGCGGTCGGCGCGCATGGCGGCAAGGGTTTCCCGTAACGCCGCCACGCGTGGTGGGGAGCACTCGCCCCCACCGACCGCGCTTTAACGCCGTCGCCAGCGTTCCAATTGGCTCAGCACGTCATTGGCGATCTGATCGGTCGTATAGCCGGTTATGTCGCGCATTCCCGGCACCCCGTCGGTACTGGCGGTCAGGGTCCAGCTATGGCTGCGGCGCTTCTCCGACGCCTCCAACGCCGTGAAGGCAGCGAGCGGACGCGAGCGGGCGGCGACGCGGTACACCGTGACGTGGTCGGGGCTGAGCGTGATGGTCAGCGTGGCGCTGAGTTCATCATGCTCGACCCGGCTGTCCGCCCAGCCCTCCTGCACCATCGTCTCGCACACCGACCGCAGCGCGGGCAGCGCGCGTTCTTCGAGCTGGCGCCTGATCTCCTTGCGGCTTGCCGGCACGAACAACCGCTTGAGCCGTTCGCCCATCGCCGCCGTCTGCTCCTCCAGCGCGACACCGGCTAGGTCCGCATTGGTCTGTCGGATCAGGCCGAAGGCGAGCAGCAGCATGATGAAGCAGAATGGCAGTGCGGCGAGCAACGTGGCGGCCTGAAGCGCGCCCGTGCCGCCCGCCACCAGCAGCAAGGCCGCCGTCACGCCCAACAGAATGCACCAATACATACGCTGCCAGCGCGGTGTCTCATCCTCGCCCCCGAAGCCAGCGTATCGATCACCAACGCGCCCGAATCGGCGGAGGTGACGAAGAAGACGCCGACCAGCAGGATCGCCAGCGACGAGGTAAAAGCCGGCAGCCGGCAGATATTCCAGAACTTGAACAGCGCCGTCGACAGATTCCTCCTGCACCGCCCGCGCGATGCCACCCGCCGCCACGCCAAGGTCGAGCGGGAGATCGCGGTGTTGCTGAACACCGTCATCCACAGGAAGGTGAAGGCAGTCGGCACGAACAGCACGCCGATGACGAACTCGCGATCGTCCGTCCGCGCGAAATGCGCGCGATGAACATGCCGACAAAGGGCGACCAGCGATCCACCACGCCCAGTAGAACAGCGCGTCCAATCCGCCATCCATGCACGCGGCTCATAGGCATAGAGGGTGAAGGTGCGCTTGACGAAATGGTCGAGATACAGGCCGAAATTCTGCACCAAGGCGCGCAGCAGGAATAAAGCGTCGGGCCGACCGCCATCACGAACAGCATCAGCAGGACGGCAATGATCAGATCCAGCTCGGACAGCCGCCGGACGCCGCGATCGGCGCCGCTCAGCACCGACAGGGTCGCTGCGCCCATGACCAGCACGATCAGCCCGATCTTGACCGTCGTCGTGTCCGGCACCGCATATTCATAGGACAAACCCGCCGTAATCTGCGACACGCCGAAGCCCAGCGACGTCGCGACGCCGAACACGGTGCCGCAGACCGCGAAGACGTCGATCGCATCACCCAGTGGCCTGTTGATCCGCTTGCCCAAGATCGGCGAAAGCCCTGAGCGCATGGTCAGCGGCAAGCCCTTGCGATAGGTGAATAGGCCGCTCATGCCGACCAATGCGTAGATCGCCCGCATGGACGCCATAATGGTGGAAGGTGATCGCCATCGCCTCGCGCGCGGCCAATATCGTTCCTGGGCGACATCGGCGGTGCGATATAACGCTGATCGGCTCGGCCACCGCGAAATACATCAGCCCGATGCCCATGCCCGCCGCGAACAACATGGCCAGCCAGAGACATAGGGGGAAATCGGGCCTGCATCGTCCGGCCCCAGCTTCAGCTTGCCGGCCGGACCGAAGCCGAGCGCGAGCACGATCACCAGAAAGGCCGCGACCGAGGCGATGTAGAACCAGCCGAACGTGTCGATCGTCCAGCTTTGCGCCGCCTTGAACGCACCGTCGGCCGTACGCATGAGAGCAAGGTGGCGGCCAGCATAATGGCCATAATAATCGCACTGGCGCCCCAGAAGACGCGTCTATCTGAATGTTTGGCATCGCGGCAACCTAACCGCGATTAATTCAAAAGCCCATATCGGAGCTGAATTTTGTTGGCGGCACCCCCCCAGATCACTCGATTTTCTATGGCTCGCGGTGCATCCGGGAGAGGCATTTACACGATTTTTTCTGAATATCTGAGCGATCGCGAGAAGCTTTCAGCAATCGGATAGGCAACCATGTTAACGATCCCAACGCTGGTGACGACGGACGCTATCCCCCCTCAATCGCCGGTCATGCCGATATAGCGTATTACGCTGTCGGCTCCGCCGTTGCGGACACGCAGCGAACCGATCCGCGCACCGCTGGCCGATCGGACGATCAGGTTGATGTCGTAATCGCTGCAATATTCCAGCTGGACCAGTCGTTCATCGGATTGCCCGGGATCGTCCCACACCTCCCTGTGACGCGCAGGCCCGAGCAGCGGACTGCACGCAAGAACTGGCTGTTGCGACGCCGGCGCAAGGTGATGTTGCGCAAGGTCACGTTGCGGCAATCGGTGAGATAGGCGGTCGGGCCGTCCTGTGTCGCCGCACCGAAACCAGATCGGCATTGGCGATGGTGATGTCACGTATCTCGCACCCTTTGCGCCACGCCATTATTCTGCATCATCAGCGGACAGCCGGTAATTTCAGGTGATCCGCCCTTGATACCGCTAAGCGTCACGTTGCGGATGATCGCCTTGCCGGTCGTCGTGCTGTGAAGAATTTGATGCACGAGAAGGCCGCGCTGTCGAGCGTCATGCTGGTCAGCGTGATCCGCTCCATGATCGCATCGATCGATCTGGCGATTTTCCGACGTAGCGACAGCGCGTCGTCACCGCTGCGTACGGTGATGTTCGATCCGCTTACCCGCGTGCAGGCGCCAAAAATGCAGGCCATCGGCGCCGGGCCGATTGACCCCGGAGAAAAGCTGCAGGCCATTGAGATGCCCGCCGCTGGAATTCTTCACCCATCCCGAACCCGGTCAGCGGCCCGGCGGTCTTGACGCCACGACCGTAAAGCCGTCGGTCGCGACGATGCCGAGCCCCTTGCGCGTCGCCCCCTGCCGGATCGGATCTGCCATCGACAAAGGGCGCCACCCTGCGCCGATGATCGTGACATTGGACAGCCGCTGCCCTGAGCGGTTGGTGAGGCAGCATGCGTGCTCACGGCGGGGCCGTGATCATTATAGACGTCGCCCGCGATCAGATACGCGCGTGGCTGGCATAGCCCAGCCCTGTCGCCAGCAGGCGATGTCCGCCGAGGGAATCGTAAAAGCGCTGGTGGGTTCTGGCCGCGGCGTCGAGCGCGGTTTGCAGGCTGGTGGTCATGTCGGTCAGGCCATGGTGCGGTCATGCGCCGCGCTTAAAAAACGGACGGCTGAAAAGTTCCACCACCGTCATTCCCAAACCCGACAAAATTACATCATTTTATGCACTTATCTCCCATTTTGAGGCCGTTAACATTGCGTCAAGGGAAGCGGCGAAAAGGGCGGCGCATGCAGAACCTGACCTTTTCCCATGCCCCCCACCCCTATGATCGGCGCCACTATGATCGTCGCAACGTCCTTCGCCTGATCGCCACCTTTTCGACCGGCGCGCTGCTCGCCGATGCGGCAGCGGCGGCGGAGACGATCTGATCGTCACACCGCCCGCCGCCACCACCCCCGTGCCCGTCGCCTCACCAGGGGCACCCACTGAATCTGGCCCTGACGCTTGCCTATCTCGGCGGGCAATATTTCTCCTATGTCGCGCGCGGTGCACCGCTGCTGAGCGTGCTGACCGGAAACGGTGAAAAGGGCGGTGACCGGCGCCCGGCAGATGCGTTTCAACGATTCCTCGATCGCCCGGCTGGCGGCGGATCTGGCGGATGACAAGGCAGCCCACGTCACCCGCGCTGCGCGGACAGATAGGGCGCGTCCGCCGGCGCAGCCCGCCATCGACCTGTCGCCGGGCGCATCGGGTGCGTTTTCGCCGCCGCCCAGCGCGCCGGGATCGTCGGGTTGGGCCAGCCTTCGATCCCTATGCCGACGACATCATTTCCTGATCGGCGCGCTGCTGATCGAAAATGCCGTGGCGGCAAGCTATCGCCGATTGTTGCTGGTCGAACCGGATCTGGCGAACGGTGCGATGGCGGCGCGGCGCATCTGGCCGATCCCATCTATCATGGCGGGGTGATCCGCGCTGCTCGACGACCGTGCCGCCACGACGCCCGCGGTCGATGCGATGCTCGGCCGCATCGGCACGATGCTCGCCACGCTCGACGGCACGCAAGGCAGCGACCAGATCCTGCCCGGCGGCGATACGAACAGCTCCAACCTGCTCGACGCGGAAGGACGCCCCATCCCTTTACCCGCACCGATCGGCAGGTGCTGAACGCGCCGGCCTCTCCGCCACGGGCCGGGCGGGTTCCCTGCCCCAAGGCGCGGTCGGCATCGCATGATGGGCAACGGCACACAGCGTCTCACCCCCGGCGGTACAGGGCAAAATCCCATCCATCGCTGGGCCAGGCGTTCAGCACGATCCGCCCGCCCCGTCCGTGAAAGACAAGGCGATCGAGCGGCAGGCAAGGCCGACGCCTAGCGCCTTTGCCATAGGCCTCCCCGCAGGACCCACCGACAGGCCAGTTCGATTACCGGGTCCGCCGCCGCGATGACGGAATGACGCTCGCCATCGGCCAGCGGGGGATCGTCGACGTTCGCGTTCAGTGCGACACGCGACACCGTCTCCACGTCCAGCCGATCCGCCCGCCTCTGGCCCAAAGTGCGACGGCATGGCAAGCTGAGGTGCTGCTCCGGCTGACCACGGTCGCGCGCCCCGCCATCCGCACGGCTGCCGTGCATCCCTGATCTGCGGCGGATGGCGCGAGAGCAGAGTCCGCCCCTTGCCCAGATCAGCCGCCATCGCCTCGCCGCAGGGCACCGTCATCAGGTCGCGCAGGCACAAGGCCAGTGCGCCCTCCGGCGAGCACGGCGGGTCAGGCCGAGCCAGCGCGGCTCGTCGGGTCGATCCGATCGGCGAGCAGCGCCAGCCGGGGAAATCTCGGATCGTCACCACCCCGCCGCGGATCAGGGCCAGTTCCTCGCGCCGCATCTGCGACACGATCCGGTTGATATGGACCGTGCTCAACCTCAACAGCTCGCCCAGCGTGTCTGGGTCAGCGGCATCGGAAAGGTGCCACCGTGCACGAAGCCGATCACCGACAGCCGGTGATGCAGTTCGAGCAGCAGATGCGCGGTCGCTGCAACGCGCTTTGGCACCCCTGTGCGGACGATATGGTCGAGCAGCGCCATCTCCTCGCACCGATCGATCGCCGCGAGCGCACGCACGATGCCGGGATGGTCCTGCGGCTCCATCCGTACCGCCTGCACCAGCCGGGCGATGCCGATCGTGCGCACGGGGTCAGCGCGATGACAGGGTTCATGGCCACGGCCGCCGCTCGCCCCTGATCACCCATCATGTCGCCGGGCAGGAGCACTCCCAGCATCTGGCGGCGGCCGTCGGCAGGATGCGCGGACGTAAGCCCAGCCGCCGACGATCAGGCGGGGGTGTGGGCTACCGTCCTCGCGGGGACAGATGCTGGTTCCCGCCGCATGGCTCTTGGGCGGTTCGGCCAGTGACAGAACCAGTTCCACCTCATGGGCGGCAAAGGGTGGCGAAACTGCGCAGGCGATGCAGCAAACAATTCGCTGGTGATCGCACGCGGGGGCGCGGGCCGATGGCTGCTCAAAGCAAGACTGCCCATGATCAATTCGCATAATAGGTGCTAGAGGACCCTGGGCGAACTGCGCCGGATCGCCATAGCGGAACGGGCGAGCGCATGAAGATCGACCCGGCTGAGCGCCACGCCGGTCATCTTGACGCCCAGTGTCTGGAGCAGGTGGATCGCCATCTCGACCGCCGCGTCGGGGTCTTGCGCCAGCGGACCAGTAGCACGGTCGAATCCGCCTTCTTGGCGACCAGCCGCCCGTCGACCACTGGCAGCACCGGCGAGGCGTCGAAGATCACGACATCGAACCGCGCCTTCAAATCCTCGATCAGCGCGTCGAAGCCCGCGCCGCCCAACGCCGCCGCACCGCCCAGTCCGGCGCGAACCATGGGCAGGATGGTCAGCGGCGAATCGAGATCGCGGAGCAGTGCCTCATCCAGCCGCGCCTCGCCCTCCAGCACCTGTTGCAAGCCGACCGCCGGACGCAGGCCGGTGGCATTGGCGATGCTCGGCCGGCGCATATCGGCATCGACCAGCACCACGCTGACCCCGCTCATCGCGACGATCCGCGCCAGCCCGATCGCGGCGGTGGTCTGCCCTCATTGGGTAGCGCAGGTCAGCGCGATCGTCCGCACCGTTCCGCTGCCGCCGATTGCGGGACCGAGGCGGCCAAAGTTTGCGATACCTCCGCCAGGCCGAGCCGCTATGGTCGACCAGCGCACTGATCGGGTCGCTGCCGCCGATAAGGCGCACCGCCGAGTTCAGCGTCGGCAGCCCCGCCAGATAGGAAGCTGCAACCGTCCTCGACATCTTCCAGCGTACGGATGCCGCGATCGGTCCCCTGCCGCATGAAGACCACGCCCAGCCTGATTGCGATCGCCAGCAGCGCGCCGACGAGCATGTTGATCGGCCGGTTGGGCGAACTGGGATGCGTGGGCAACGCGGCGAGACTGGCGATGCGTGCGTCCGACCGGGTGGAGGCGGCCTGCGCGCCGATCTCGTTCAGTCGGGTCAGCAACAGTGCATAGCTTTGATGCGCGGTGTCCGAACGGAGTTTGAAGCCCGCCCAGCGCGATTGAAGCGACATTGTTGTTCACCACCTGCGATCGCGCACCTGACGCGCTGCCCGCCAGCGAGGCGGTCCGCCGAGCGGCGACATCGCGCTGCGCCCAGGATTGAGATGGTGCGCTTGATCTCGCCTTCTGATCTGCGCGCGTCGATATCGGCGACCGGCGCTGTGCGGCCGCAAGCGGGGATATTTGGGTCCGTACTTGCTGCCCAGATCGGCGACCTGCGCGCTGACCGTCGCGCGCTGGCTGCGCAGTTGCGGATCACCGGCGAGCCCAGCGCCTCGCCCAGATCGTCGCCCTTGGAACCGCGGGCGAGCTGCTGGCGGGCGGTCTGAAGGCGGGCGGTCGTTTTCCGCCTCTCCGGCGCGGGCGAGTGCGACCTCGCCGTCGAGCGAGGATAGCTGCTGCTCGGCGATGGTGCCCCCCCCTGCACGCTCATCAGATTGTGCGCGACCTTGTAGCGGCCCAGATCGCCGTCCGCCTCCTCGACCTCGCGGCGCGCCTCGTCGAGCTGGCCGCGCAGCAACGCGGCGGCGGCGTCCGCGCCTTCGCGCTTCACCGCGCCCGATTGAGCGACGAATTCCTGCGCATAGCTGTTGACGATCGCGGTCGCGAGCTCGCGGTCGGGATGCTCGAGCGACAGGCTGAGCATGAAGGTCTGCGCATTGCGATGCACCTCGATGCCATTTGCCAGCCGATCGATCGCCGCATCACGCCGGGCCGAGGCCGGCAGGGGCGTGGGTGGGCGCTCCAATCCGTGAATCCGCCTGAGGATCGAGGGGTTGGGGACCAGCGCCGGAACCGCGCTTCCCTCGGCCAATCCCAGCCGGTCGACGACCAGCCCCGCGAGCGTCCGGCTCTTCAGCAATCTGACCTGCGTATCGACACTGGAATCGGCGGCCGGATCACTGAGGGCACTGGTCGCTCCGCCCCGATCTGCGCGGGCTGGGGCGCGATGACCAGCGTGGCGGTCGCCGTATAGCGCGGGGTCTGCAGCCAGCTATAGGCCGCGACCAGCGCCAGATGCCGCCCGCGACCGCCGTGAACAGCGTGAGATGGCGGCGATAGGTATGATCAGGTCCATGACCCCGTTTTGAGGCAGCGGGCCCCGTTCGACATAGGCGGGTGATGAACGAGCGCCTTCGAAAGTAGCGCTATCGTAACGAATCGGCAGGCTGGCCATCGTCGATCTTCCGTTTCTATCGTTGAAGGGTCAGCGTCAGTGAGACGCGATGATCGTCGAAATTGGTGACGCGGACCCGCAGGTGCAATCCCGCGCGAGATAGCGATAGCCGAGCCGCGCATTCCAATGGTTGCGCGACAGATAGGTCAGCCCGCATCGGCATAGGGGAAGCGAATCCCGCCGAGGGATGCCGCGATAGGTGTCGCGGTAATAGCCCCTCGACTGAGGCGATGAGGTAACGGCGAAGCTCGTGATCCGAGCGCAACGATCCGCCGCGATGCAAGAAGCCGCCGGTTCCCGGCACGCCGCTGTCCTGAATACTGCTCGGCGGTCGCGGTTAGCGTCCACAACCGGGTCGGAAATAGACGAGCTTGCCCAGCGCCCCGAGACCTGAAAGCGGACGAATACCGGCCCGATCGAAGTCCGGCGAATATAGCCGACGCGGACATCGCCGCGCATCAGATCGGTAACCCGAAGCTCGACCCGAGATAGACGCCATAGCCCTTGGGAATCGCGCGTACCACCGGGTGCGAGGCGGAAATCGACCTTGTCGCTGGCGGCGCCATAAATCGAAACGGCGGACTTCAGGTGCGCTCGACCCGCACCAGTGCCTGATAGCGGGTCCGGTCGCGGTCGCGGGTGAACAGCGTGCCGCCGTCCCGCGCAGGCGTATCGCGAAAGCGCAGGTCGATGACATCGGCGCAAATGATGCGGGTGTTCGCCTGCTCGATCGTCGCACCTGCATAGCCGTTGAGCGCATTATATTCGAGCGGGCTTGGCCGCCTCGATCGGCGAGTCCGGCGCGAAACGCGGATTGACGAAGCTGCCATAGCTGGCCCCCGCCGCGAGGCTGCTGGAGCGCGCCGACCGCAATGCTGCCTTCCAGCCCCGCCATGCCCTCCTCGGTATTTTTTCACTACTGGCATAGGTGGCGAAGCGGCGTAGGTCGGCGCGGCCATAGGCGGTCAGGCGATAGGGGCCGCTGGTGCGCACCGTCACCTCCGGCCGGACAACCAGAGACATCGCTGCGCCGGTCCTCATTGTTGGCGAACAGGTTGGAGGTAAACAGCCCCCGACCGACACCGCCGGAACATATCGAACGCACCGACTGTGACCCCTTGCGCGGTGAAGGCCGGTAATGTCCGGTCGGTGACACCCGTGTCGCGTTCATGAGCGAAGACCGAGCGTGCATCGGCATGGCGGCTGGGCGGCACCGGACGGTCGGTACATCCTGCAACAGCTGAGCGCCCAGCGGCGGCGGTACAGGCGCCGGCGATCATCAGCGACGCTGCGCGACAGCCGCCGAGGCGCGCCGCACAGGATCAAAAACCAGCGTTCCTTTGATCCGGATGGTGTCGCCTGAGGCCACCAGCGTCGTCGCGGTGACGGGTCCGCGACCTGCATCCCCGCCGGCATGTTTGATGAAGACCTGCTTGGTCTGGCGCGATAGGTATAGCCGCCCGCCTGCGCCACAGCGCCCAGCACGGTCAATCCGTTGGCAAAGGGATATTGCCGGGCTTGCTGACTCGCCCAAGATGTAGAAAGGGCGGGTCGACAATACTTGACCGCGACGCGCGGGTCCTTGATATAACCATCGGCCAGCCGTGCAACGATGCGGTCCTGCAACTGGGTGGAGGTCAGGTACGCACATCGACCTCGCTGATCAGCGGCATCGCGATCATCCCCGACCCGGCGATGGTGAACTCGCCACCCAGCGCCGGATCGCCGAACACCATTCCGCACCCGGTCGCCGCCTGACAGCACATAATTATAGATGGGAAGTTGCGCTGAAGCGCCGTTCGTGGTCGGCGACCTCCTGCCCCTGAGCTACCGCTGGCAGTGCGGTGGCCGTGAACAGCGTCATCAGACGGGTCGCAGAACCGCGATACGCCACTGGGCATAGGTCCTCCCTTGGCAGTTTCCTGCTGTTTTTATTCCCTGACAACCGTCTTTCGACTGTACATTTCCGCCAGCTACGGGCGGCTTCCCTCGTCATTCTCTAGTTACAACCGATGGCCCGGCTGCAATCGTCTTCATGGTGACGAATCGCTGACCATATACGGACTGGGGAACGGTGCACCGCACTAACCGATATACACTCTCATTAAAAAGATTATGATCGTATTTGTCTTTTGATGTATTTTCGATCGATCAATGCGACCTGCCGACATGAAGTCATCAAAACGATCGGCGGATAAGTCCGTCCGGTTCGCTGCCGCGCCTGTTCCCCAGAGCGAGGTGCCATCATGACCGTTTCATATATCCCCGCGCCCCATCCCTCCCTCACGCCCCGGCCGTTGCAGACGGCGGACGGGATCCTGGCGCTTATCCTGTTGGTCCTGCTGTCCCCTGCTGATGCTGCTGGTGGCGGCGCTGATCGCGTTGGAGAGCGGCGGCGGCACACCCATCTATGGCCATCGCCGTTACGGGCAAAGATGGACCTTCCTATGCTGGCAAATTCCGCCTGATGGCGCTGGATGCCGATGCGCGGTTGGCCTGGCTGGTGGCGTATTGATCCTGCTGTACGCCGAATGGGCGCGCGACCACAAGCTGCGTCATGATCCGCGCGTCACCCGGATCGGGCTGCTTCATCCGCCGCACCAGTGCCCTCGACGAACTGCCGCAGCTGTTCAATATCCTGCGCGGCGAAATGAGCGGGTCGGCCCGCGCCCGATCGTGGTGGCTGGAAGCGCGGCGCTATGGCTGCCATTTCGTCGATTATTGCTCGGTGCGGCCCGGGATGACTGGGTATCTGGCAGATCAGCGGGGCGCAACGACATCGGCTATCGGCGGCGGTCGCGAGGACTGCTCTGATGGCGCGGCGCATGTCGCCCCGACCTCTATGCCGAGGTGCTGATCGGCACCTGCGCGCTGCGCCAGACCTGCCAAGGTGCCTATTGAAGTGGGCGCTTATTGAAGAAGCTGAGCGTAAACTTTCAGGCTGAAGGCCCGCGCCACCGCCTCGGGCGTGGTGCGGCGACTACCCGCGCCTGGCCCTTGGGCGGCTGGGCGCCCTATCTCCAGCGCGCATCTGGGGCCGCCAGCGCCACCATCGCCCGGCGGCACCAGCCGCGTCATCGGCGATGATCTGCAATCCCAGCGCTGCGCGCCGATGACGGGTACTGCGCTCGATAGGCCCGGAGCACGGTCCGCCTGAGCGGCTCGGCCCACAAGGACGGCGCGACGAGGGCAGTCGATCTGGTCGAATAGCACCTGGGACGCTGAAAGCCGATGAATTCCGACCGGAAGCCCTTCTGGCAGCGCGGATAGGTGCCGGATCGCCCAGCGCGCCGCGCCGGCGATCAGCAACCGCCAGCCGTTAGGCGGCAACAGCTGTGTGCGGCCTTGAGCAGCGTATCGACCCCTTTCCGGGCTGGATCTCGCCCCAGATAGCGGAAGGTGATGGGACCGGTGAGTACGGGCTTGGTGAGAGTCCGCCTCCACCCCTCGACCGCCGCCGTGTTCCAGATGACGCGTCGCCGGTCGGCCGGCACATGACCAAAAAGCCATAGCGCAAATGCCGCGAAAGCACTTCCCCCCACCGCCGTCACCGACGCGACGAGACGCTGGTCGAGCTGTTGGCGAAGGTCAGCACCCGGCATTTCAGATGCCGTCCCACACAAGGTCCCGTCTCCCGGTACATGGAACTGGCGGCACAGCAGGTCGTAGTCGCGCAACGTGGACGATCGGAACTTGCGCAGCGCCGCGCCAGACCCGTCGAGATATCGACCATCGAATGGGTGGACGATATTAGCGAAATCGGTCGAGTTATTGCCAAAGCGGCGTTCGATCGCGAAATTCGGCCTGTTGCTTGAACTGGCCTATTCACGCTGGCGCTGGCTATGCGCCGCCCAGTCCTCCAGCCAGAAGTCGTTGCTGTGGGCATGTGGAAGACGGTGACGCCGTGCCGCTCCTTTCCACCGCTTCGCTGGGAGTCAGGCAGGCGGCGGCGACATTCCAACCCTCGGCTGTTTGTTTCCGCCAGCATCGACACCGATTGCCCGCGCCGCTGACGATATGTGGCGATAGAGGCTGGAGATGCAGGATGCGGGGTCACGCCAGCACCTCCGCATAGAGGACGTCATAGGCGTCGAGCATCCGCTGCGGCGTCACCACCGACAGCACACCGTCAGGCGGGGGCGCGGCAAGGCCGACCGCCCGTCGTATCGCCGCCAGCATCCGCGCGGCCAACGCCGCCGGGTCGCCCGGTGGCACCAGCCATTTTCGCCCACCGCACCGACCAGATCGCCGATCGCGCCAAGCCGTGACCTGATCACGGGCACGCCTTTGGGCAAAGGCCTGACGACGGTCAGCCCCGAACGGCTCACGCCAGATGGACGGCATGACGAGCAGGTCTGGCGCCGCGCAGAAACGCCTGCGGATCGGTGAAGCCCAGAAATGACCGGCATCCCCTCGGCCAAGGCACGGTACGCGGCATCGCCTCTTTGTGCACGGCCATGCTTCCGCAAATCGCCAGCCGGTTCCGGGCAGGAGACGACAGGCGGCGAAAGTGTCTCAATTCCTTTCGGGGACAAGCCGTCCGAGAAAGCCGAAGATAAAGTCCTCGTCCGGTCGGAGCGCTGCCGCGCTGGCGGCACCCCACCCCGTTCCAGATCACCTTTCGCGCGCGTGTCCTGAACAGGCCAGAAGCGGCGATGTTCGTCGAGCACCGGCTGCGACACCGCCGCGATCGCATCGGATCCGCTTGGCGAAGCGTGCCTTCCACGCACCGGTGATCCGGGCAGACGCGTGGCGCCTGACACAGAGCCTGTCGCGGAACATCGACGCGCGCGAGCAGACTGTCGTAATCGTGCAGCGGGCGGATGCTGCGCGCGCTGCTGTCGGCGATCGCCGACCAGATCATCGGCGGCAGCTCGACCATCGAATGGGTGTGGACGATGTCGGGCGAAACTGGCAGCGACCGCACGCGCGACATCGGCGGGCCCCGCGATAATTGACCATCTGCCCGCAATTTGTTATGGTCCGCATCGCGCGCGGGGCGGCGAACACCTCCTCCATCCAGACTAGGTTGCGGCTGCGTTATGGCAGGACGGTGACGTTGTGTCGCTCGCCCGCCTCTTTGCGCCTTGCGCGACAGATAGGCCGCGCCCACCTGATGTCCGCGCTGCACCTGCGCCTCGGCGAGCATGGCGACGACCTTCTCCTGCGCCACCCGACGACGTGCGGGGATAGACCGAGCGACATGAAGGATGCGCATCCGCCCACGCCCCATGAATCAGCGTGCGGCTTGCGCCGTCTGGGCCAGATAGCGGTCGCCCTGTTCGGTGACGGTTCGATCTCGACCCCCATGCCATTCGTTGAAATCCGGTCACGAGCACCCAATCGGCTCGTGGCGGATCGCGGCGTCCACAGCGTGCGATAGGTCGCGCCGTCATAGCGCGCGACCGTCGGGCGCGGCGCCGGGCGGCCGGGGACTTTGCTGTCGTCGAAGCTGGGGATGACGGTGGCGCAGAACAGCTTGCCCCGCCATGCGCCACAGACTGCAGGTGCGGTCCGCCTGTGCCTTCATCTGGGGCGGCGTCAGTGCCCTTCAGATAGGGGCGAGCCAGGACACGGATGCCGTCCATGAACGGCGCGCCAGTGGCGAAATCGCGCGTCCGCGCGGGGAAACGTCACCATTACGAACGCTCCTCCGCCGCTTTGCGCCAGTCGCGTGGGCAGATCGCAAGGCTTGCAGATAGAGGAACAGCACTGGACGTTTTGTCCACCCCCAGCCGCGGGATGCGCGCGCCACAGGTCCGGGTGAGATAGGATATCGCGCGCCGCGCCCGCCGCCCCGTCCTTCTGCTGTTCGGAGATAGACGGTGACATGTAGGCCTGCCGCCCGTGCGGCCTGGGCGATCACCGGCAGCGCCTTGTCTCAAACGAACGGTCCCCACCTAGCTGACGATGAGCGCCGGATCCCGCCGCCTTTGGCTCGGCGACATGGGTGCGGATCACGCCCGCATCATGGCTGTCGGAGACCGGAGCACCGGATAGTTGAGCGTCGGGTTTCGCTGGGGGCTTCGCCATGCGGACCCTGCTAATGAAGCCAACGCCCGCCGGTCGTCGGATTGCCATACCGTGAGGATAATAGGAAGGCCAGCACCGACGCGGGTAACGCCGGGGCCCGCCGAGATCGGTGCTGCCGCCAGCGCCAACCCGGCACTGACGACGCTGCGCCGCGACCAGCTCACGCGGTACGCCTGTGGCGAAGATCGCCGCGCGGGCGCGGTCCCAGCCGACCCGGATCTGCGCGCGGTTGGATCGCCAGCAGATGATCTGGATCGTGACGAACAGCAGGCGGTTGATCTGCCCTGGCGCGGCGATGCTCCAGAGCGAAGCCTGCTGTGCCGGAGAAATAGACCTGAAGGAAGGTCCACACCGCGAAGAACAGGCTCAACGGGAAGGCGGATCTGAAGGCGCGACGCAGATAGAGCGCGGCAAAGGCGACCAATAATTTCAGCACCATCATGACGACGGGCCACGCCGACATAGCCGAACATGACGAGCGCCATCGCCCGGTGCCCATGGTCAGCTGCACCCAGCCGCCATTCTTGCGGAATCGTCCGCCAGCGCGGCAGGGGCGTAGCGCTGGATGAAATAATAGGTCTCGACCCTGCTGGCGAAGGCGGTGGCGGCGGCGACTTGTCGCCCAGCGTTTGTTGCGCAACCAGATGCGCGTCCTACCGCGTGACCCGGCGCGCATCGCGGCTGGCGACGAACTACACCCGCCCTGCCCAAGGATCCGCCTCCGACCAGTGGTCACGGTGCGGTCGAGCGGTAACCGTCCATAGCCCGAATAGATATAGAGGGTGGCCCCCAGCGCCGCGCACAGCAACGCCGCGACCGGCACCGCGAGCCGCAGCATCGTCCCTGCCAGCCGCCCCTGCCGCACGAGCAGTGGGCGGGTACGTGGCGAAGAAGGCGACTTCGGCCAGATGGTGAAGAACTTGTCACGAACAGGAAATAGAGGCGGTGAGGGCAAGGAAGGTTTGGGGATCGCCGCTGTCTTGAGCAGCGGCTGGTACCGCGGGTGCGAAGGCGATGGCCCCAGTGACTGCGGGCGAACAGGAACTTGTTAATGAGCAGGATCAGGACCAGCCGCTGCTATATTCCCGCCGATAGAGGAACCGGTCGACACCCGCGAGCAAAGCGGAAACCCGCCTGCATCCCATGCAGAAAGGCAAGTGCCCCAACGCCGTGCACAGGCCCACCACCGGGCTGTGCCGAGCACGCCACGACCTGATCGAGCAGGGGCGAGCGGGCATAGGCGAGGGGAACCAGCGCCTGCATCGGCGAAAGACCAGCGCGAAGATGAGGAAGAAGCATCGCGGTGAAGGCGATAAAGGACGCGCTCGCATCGCCCGGCACACCTTTCGCTGATTGACCGGGCATATAGGGCCGGCCCGATCACCAGCAGCGACACCAATGTAGCGCCGCGCGGATGACCAGCGGGAGCAGGTGATCAGCGCCGCAACTGATCCGCCTGACCAGCAACAGCAAGGCACTGAACAGGAGGAGGAGGATAGGGAGAAGGCCGCCGCTTCAGCCGCCGCCAACGCCCAGTGGAGCGCAAGCGCGGCGGTCAGCGCGATGATCGCCTCAAGGCAATGGTCGGCAACCGCGCGCTGCCGGCCCATCGCGATCGGTCGGCCCATCCGCGCCCCTGCATCGAGATGCCCGTCATCGAGCCAGCCGCACCGTTTCGCCCCCGGATGCGTCAAATGAGGCATGATGCAGTGCATCATCATGGGTGGGGCAAAGCGACTCGGAGACCGCGATGTTTGCCGTGAACATGCTCGATGTCGGGGCTCAGTTTCTATCGCAACGCCGTCCAGTTCGGGATGAATGCCATCGCCGCCCTTTGTGCTGCTCCGGCGATTGCGGGCTGATCGTCTCACCACGCCCTTTCTGGTGTTGATCGCGATGCTGATCGACTGGGGTATGACCAGCGCGATCACCCGTGCGCTGACCCTGTCGCGCGACGAGGGCGGGGGCGGCGATGGGGGCGATGATGATCGAGGCGCGGTCTGCGCTGTGCTGTTGGTCGCAGGCGCTCGCCCCGAGCGCGCGATCGGCATGGCGGGCTGGCCCCCGTGATGGCGGCGATGGCGGGGGTCGTGCTGTTGTCGATCGCCGCCCCCGCGCGCCTTTGATGGAGCGCGAATTGCGCTGCGCTGATCGCCCGGATCGAGGCGATCGTCATCGGCCCCGCCGCGATCGGGGGCTCGCGGCTGCGTGGAGCGGGGCCGGGTCTGGTCGCTCGTCCTCATAATATCCCCGGTCCAGCGATGCGGCCTGGCGCGTTCGGCTGGACGATGATGCGGCGTGCTGCGGCCCAATGCCCGGTTCCGCCAGTTGAAAGGCTTGCTCTCCTTCGGTGGCTGGGTGCTGGCGAACAACATCCTCAACTTTCTGGCGCGCAACAGCGACAATCTGCTGATCGGCGCGGCTGGGTGCGGCGGCGGTCGGGGGGTGTACGGCTCGGCCTATCAGTTCATCTCGCCCCATTGATGGCGATCACCGCCGACCAGCGGCATATTGCTGTCCACATTGCGCGGCGAAGACCTGCATGGGCCGCGCGCGCAGGCGACGGTGGAGGGCGTGCTGTCCGCCACCGCGCTGATCGTCACGCCCGCGATGATACCTCACCTTCGGCCTCGCCTTTCCGGTGGACAGCCTGTTGTCGGGGGCATTGGGCGGCGGTGCCCGCAATCGTCGCGGTTGCTTCCGGCGGGCGCGCTTCAAGCGATCGCCTCCTATAATGGCGCGCTGCTGATGGTCGCGGGCGTGTGAAGGCGCAGTTCCTGCTCAGCGTCGCCAATACGGCCGTGCTGGTCGCGACCTTTGTGCTGGCGCTACCGCATGGGCTGATGGCGTTGGTCCAGCCTATACGGCGGCGATTTCGGTGATGAGCCTCGCCTTTCTGGCGATGACGGTCATGCTGACGGGCTTGCGCGTCAGGCGGCTCGCCCGCGCGCTGGCCCCCGCGCTGCTCGCCACCGGGGCAGGCGTCGTGGGGTGGCCGTCACCACGGGCCTGCATCCGGGCAAGCTGACGGGGTGGATCGCCGCGACGGCCATGTACGGCGCGGGGTGCTGGCCTGCTACGCCGCGCTGCACCCTACGTCCGGCGCACGCTGGCGGCACTTCTCACACGCGGGGCACCGGATGCGGCGATTACAGGAAGGTAGCGGCAGGAAGCGGCCGCCCGCAAACACCACCGGTCTTGGCCGCGCGCACCACGCCGACGCCGTAATCGACCCCGTCGGCCTGAAGCCGCGCATGGATCGCCCCACCGTATCCTGTTCGCCATCGCGCTCGGCATCGTCGAGGATCAGCGCGAAGTCGCGCGGCAAATCCTCGAGCATCGCCAGCACCCCGCCCCGCGAATGGAAAAAGGCGTGCCGCGCGGCCCGTCGCACAGGATCACGTCGAAGCGCCGCCCGGCCCGCACCGCCGCCCAGTCATAGGTCGTCACCGCACGCTTGCCCACTTGGCGGACCGCCAGCGGCGTTACCAGCACCTCATGCATCACCTGCGCTGCGATCCGCTCGCCCCCATTCGGGGTCGTTCTCCAGCGTCAGCACTTCGCCGACCAGCCCGCGCCGTTGCAGCATCGCCCATAACAGGCTGCTCTGTCCTGCCCCGATATCGAGCACGGAGGCTGGGCCGAACTCCACCCGATGCGCAGGATCAGATAGAGCAGGCTGTAATTGGCCGCGCCGCCTGTGGGGAAGAAACCGGTCTTCCTCTCCGAGCAGCTTTAACTCGCGCAGGAACAATGCGATAGATCGCCTCCAGCCCCGGTTCGGGGGCGAAGGCGTCGGCCCGTCCGGTCCAATGCCGCAAACGGTGGCGCAGGCTGTGCATCATTCACTTCCAGAATGCGCCGCGACGGCACGCGGCTGGGTTGGGTCGCGAGTTGCGCGGTCAGGGTCGCTCGATCCAGCGATGGACCGCGAAGGCGAGGATCAGCGCGACACCGACCATGACGGCCACGAGCTGCCATCCTCGGCCGCCCGCATCACGGGCAGCTTCTGTGCCAGCTTCTCCGTCAGGATCAGCGCGAAGGGGTGGAAGAGATAGAGTGAATAGGACGCATCCCCCACAAGCGCGGCGGGCAACAGGATACGCGGCATCACCGGTCGGGCCCCAGCACCGCCGCCGCCAGCAGCATCGCGATCGGCAGCCCGGCACAGACCACGCGCGGCCAGTCATTAGCGACGGTCACACCGACCGCGCCGTCAAAGATATGGAAGGGATCGGCGAGCAGCAGCGCGGCCCCGGCGGCCGCCAGCGCGAGCTGCACCATCGGTGGCAGGACGACGCCCCACCCCAGCAGTGCCCCTGACCGCCAGCCCCAGCCCGAAATCCAAGATGATCGGCCGCGTCCAGAACCACAGCCCAGACGGCCCCGGCACCCACAGCGCCAATCCCCGTCGCCGCGACCAGCATCACGCCGATCGCCACCAGCGCCCGCCTGCGCGGCAGCGCGCCACGACGAAGGCGAACAGCGCATAGAAGAACATCTCGTAATTCAGCGTCCAGCCCAGATCGAAGACCGGAAAGAACCGCCCGTCGCC